AATATTATTGTTAGTGGTGTTGATAAACCATATGGCGAAGTAGAATAAATAATTTTTTTATAAGAATAAATATTATTTTGATATAATATTTAGGATTATTGGCGAGAAATTCAAATTGGTGATCAAGTTAAACTTCGTTGGTTTCGATCATGTTTGCGGTAATCAAGACTATTTAGTTATATATATTTAGAAAGACGCCTAAAATATTTTCACTACAAAACAGAATCTATATAAGAGATTAGAGATAGATTTCCTCTATCTAATGATGTATGCATTACCAAGTTCAGAGATCTGTCAGGTGGACTGGACGATCGTGGAAACGCAGAGAACCTGATAATACATATATTGTTAGATAGAGGAGCTCTGTTGCTATAAGCCTATATATATATATCCCGTTCTATAGTCAAAAATCATTGAAAAGCTTAAAGCCATGTTTTGAAATACAATTTTAGATGTTTATTACCAACCGTAACTCAAGAAACAGGTATTCGTGATCCTAATCAAGAACCATGGAAAACACTTCAAACGTAATTTAAAATATCTTATTTTTCTGTATATTTTATCATTTTTCTGTTGGTATTTAAACAGATTCCGTCGTAAACCAGATTTGTATGGTATTAAAGCACAATTTGGAACATATCTTGCGACTATGGAAAATGGTATAATTCGTGTTGGTGATCGTGTTCGTGTTTTACGAGAAGATAAAAACTTTTAATTTCATTTTCAAGTTTCATTAATCCTGCAATCAATTAATTTAAAAGTTGTTTTTTGTTTTTTATTAAATAAGAAGAAAATAGATAGATATGTAATTGAAGGGGCTTAATAAATGAAGTTTTCCTTTTTTTTTATAATTCATCAAAGAGTTTTCAATCTGGAACTCAGAAAGTTATCAGTTTCATTAAATTTCATATGCTTAATTCATATTTACATACATAAGAACATCAAGAATAGAATGATCTATTACTTGTTTTTTTTTTACTGTTTGATAAAACATCAGTTTTACCTTTTGCTATCATTATTTTTATTTTAAAGTTCATTTTCGATAAATCTTGTATTCAATATTTTTAACAAAACTATTTCGCCTGCAATTACTTAATATAAATAATACATATTACAAAGCAAAAATATCCATATTAATACTTTCAGTATGCAAACTTTAGCAAATTGAAAGTGCATCACTCGATTTCTATTTGAAAATAATACTCACATTATAATTTAGCTACATAATTTAATGTTTGATTATAATCAGAAGAATATCTTTTTTTTTGATTTATAATACGAAGGAAATAAATCTAGTGAAGTAAGTCCTTCAACTGATAAATCATTTCCTAAATTGAGGATGTGTAAATCTAAATGAACACTGAATATTCTTAACAGAAAAATTGATTTTCGAAGGTTGTATGCCTCTTCGCCGAAAAGCATTTCATTGAAAGGCCCGGAAATGCTGTAGACCGTTGCGAGCCCTTTAATTCCTGCATAGACTTGTTAAGCATGACAGGATCAATTCATTTTACCGTCACCCTCACCTTTGCAGCGCCCTTCGTGGCCAAAAAATACTTTCGATGTTGCGTTTTTCGGCGAAGAGCATACATACCATCTATTACAACTACGAGAAATCAAAACACGAATATTTCAGATTTCTATCTTTAATACGAATAAATTCTTAAAATAGTTTGTTTGTTTTTTTCTAAACTTGAACAGATACTCAAAGAACCTTGTATACTACATTTCAAAATTATAATATCAAAAAAATATTTTATCACATAAAAAAAAAAAAAAGATTTCAAATTCAGATCCTTATTGATTTCAAATAGAAAACTTCTTATTTTATACTTTTGTTCAATGATAATAATTTCATGGAAATATTTTCATTTTATTTCAATATATATATGTATCTATTTTTTTTTTTTAATAGTCAAACAAAAGATGCACATAAACATAGAGACAATATTAATTTTTTTTTTTCGAAGAGAGAATAAACATCTATACCAAGATTTACGTTCATATACATATAAACACAAATAAAGAATAAATCAATCATTGATACAATGAACAAAACAAAAATGTATAGTTAATACAATAATTTGCTTTTTTCAATCTAGAAATATTTGTTTGTTTTTTTTTTTATTGTGTACTTGGTTTAGTTGGTGCTTGAGGTAAACTTCCTTGAACAGGTGTTTTCTTTCCAATGAGTGACTAAAATAAACAAAATTTTAACAAAATTAAAAGATATCAAATTCTACAAACCTTATGAATATGTGGAATAACACCACCACCAGCAATTGTTGCTTTAATTAATGTATCTAATTCTTCATCACCACGTATAGCCAATTGTAAATGACGTGGATTAATACGTTTTACTTTAAGATCTTTTGATGCATTACCTATAAATATTTTTTTTTGTTTTGTTTTTTTTCATAAACATAATAAAATATTTTACCAGCAAGTTCAAGTACTTCAGCAGTTAAATATTCAAGTATAGCAGCTGTATAAACAGCAGCTGTTGCACCAACACGTCCATGTGATGTTGTACGAGATTTTAAATGACGATGAATACGACCTAATCAATACAAAAAAATTGACATAGTATTAAAAAAAGAACTAATAGAAAATACTTACCAACAGGAAATTGAAGACCAGCACGAGCACTTCGAGAAACAGCTTTAGCTTTTGATTTACCATGATCTTTACCTATATGTTATAAAACAATAATATAAGAAAAATTATATAGAATCTTACTCACCAGCTTTACCACCAGGCATTTTATTATTTAAATATAAGTATTATTAAACTATCTGAAAATATATATGCAAAATCACAAAAGGACAATACAACAACTAAATTGCTCTATGAAATGAGGGCAACAGCCTATCGAACAAAGAATATGAATCATATATAGACACAATGATAGTGCAATTTTCTTTCTTTCTTTCTTTCTTTTATATTTCTAAGCAATGAAATGGTCAGAATTCGTCGAGTCACTTTTCTTTTTTTTTCTCTGGCTAAGCAATGTAAAAAAAGAAAATGAACGTTTGTACGCGGTCATTCTAGAATGTAAATGTTCGACGGAATATTCTTTATTGGTCAAAAAAAAAAAATCAATGTCGTTCATTAAAAATAAATTTAAATTTAAACGAAATTTCATTCTGATAAAAAACTCCTCTTCTTCAAATTGAGTGAGAGATTTTCAATAAATAATTCGAAATTCTTTATAGACTTTCATTCTACATACTTAATTGTTTGACAGAGCCTATGCGAAAAAGAAAGGCGCTCTAATTATAAAAGTAAAACAAGTCTTCAACCTATGCATTTCTCTTAAGACCGACCAAAAATTAACTTCTTTTGAGGACGATTGTTCACTAATGAAAGATAAATATGTTGTTGATCAATAGTAATTGATAAAATATAAAGAGTTTCTACCTAATTATAAACTTTTAATACTTCGGATAGTATTTTAAATGTTATGACATTATGTCTTTTAATAACATTTATATTAACAAAAAACAAACGTGATAATTAGGATAATGAATTCATAGGTCATTAAAACTTCTTAAGAAAATACTAGATCGATTTTGTTATTGTAAGGATCACGTTTCTTTTGTTTATATTACTATGATTAAAAGAGATATTGTCTGAAGTATGCAAAACACAATATTGCAGAGATTATTCTTTGTTTACCGACGGAAAAATTCTTCCGAAAAAAACTGCGGTTTTTTCTTGAAAAATTTTTCCGTGAGTACATATAAATTAACGCTAAGAACTTATTGAACATTCTATATATATATATATACTTCTGACAAAAAAAAAAACATCAGATAAAATGACTTTTTTTCTTTAACAGAACTGATGAAAATTTCCTTGAATAGATAATGATAATATTTAATTTGCAGAAAACTGATGATGAGGATATTATCTTTTCTATAAAAGAGAAATCGCTAAGACATTATTCACTTGAACAATAATCTTTATCAAGAAAAAAAAATACCGAAATCATCATTGCTAAATATGAAAATGTCAAGTTAATCATATAATTTATTTGTTAAACATACGAAATGAAAATATACAATTAAGAATTGTCTTCATCATCATCATCAGTACTTGTATGATTATCATCATTTTTTGATGTTGATGATTTACTTAGTTGTTCTTTTAATTGATTTTGTTGTTTTAATTTAGCAACAATTTCTTTTGCAGGCATAAATAAACCACTTGTTGCAGCATTACATATAGCACAACTAGGATTAATTCGATAATTACTTAATGCACATGATTCACAAAAATAATGACGACATTTAGTAACAACTGGTTCTTTAAATGTATTACGACAAATTGAACATCGTATTGGTAAACCATCTTCATCCTAAATAAAAATATTTAATTTTTTTTTTTTTATTAAAAAAAAAATTTTACTTGTTCTTCTTCATCGGATTCAGCTTCAGGATGATGATGATGATGAGATTGATCTTTCTTACCAGATGAAAAAGCATTCCATGCAGCTGAACGACTACTTTTATCATTAACAACATATTTTTGACTATTATCATCAACAGAACCATAAGATTGTTCATTCCATTCTTGTTCAAGTTGCCAACCATGTTTGTAATCAGAACGATCATGAAGAAATTTACAACTATCACCAAAACCACAATAACCTAAAATAACAAAGAATAAAAATTGAATTTCTTTTTTTGATTTTTTACACACCTGTTTCTTTGTAATCTTTACAAATATCTGGTTGATAATCCCAACGTACAGATACACGAAGATGAGCAGGTGCACGAATTGGACCTACAAAAAAAAAGAATCAAATCAAATATTAAAAAAAAAAAATTGATCTTACCTTTATTTCGAACAAGACCACTACTTGCATTTCCTTGTGCCGTATCTTTTTTTTCATAAAATTGTTGATAATTATTAATACCACGATAAATTTTATCATCAATTTTTCCTTTTAATTCTTCATTTATTTTTTTTGCACGTTCAAATATAGTTTGTTGATCATGTTGTAGATCAGTATCAATTTCAACTGTAGCTGTTGCACCCATATCTTTTGGACCTTGAGATTGAATTTGTCGATCAGATTTAAATTTAATATCAAGAAATTTTTCTTTCATATTTGTATTATCATCTTCAATATTTTGTTGATGACGTTTATTCGATGAATTATTATTACTTGTTGTTATTAAACCTTTTTTTATTGTTCTTGATGTACGAAATGTTGAAGCAGATGGTTGACTTTCATTATCGGATGATGAAGAATTTGATGATGAATTTTGACGACCACGTTTTGATGATGATGTTGTTATATTATTACGACGAACAGGAGCTTTAAAAAAGACACACGAAGGTTTGGAATTATTATTGTCAGTACTCATTATCTGAAAGAAAATTTTGTTTTTCCTGAATATTTATTTAGAAATAGAAGAATGTGTTGATAAGTCTATTATAGAGCAAAAAAGAAAGTATGAATGAGATGTATATATATATATATGAAAAAAGAAAACCACCAAAACGCACACAGATTAAGTATATATTCTAAAAAATAGTCGTAACAGCGTGAAAAAAAAAATGTGTAAAGCATTTATGTGTGCAAATCTATGTTCTCGGAAGATCATTGCAATAGAATAAAACCTGAGAAAAAAAAGTAGTGCATAACAGAAATTATTGCATAGAAATATGTATATCTAACAAATTTAGCCAAATAACCGAGAACAA